CAAACTTTAATTTATTGTTAATTGGGTGCCTATGAGTCATATTGAACTTAATGGTATCCAACAGTAACAACTACTTTGAGGAGGCAATTTTTTTGTATTTGTATTTTAAACACCTTTTTTAACCTGAGGGTTTGGTTTTTTTTTCCTGACACTTTATTGAATATTGTTGTGCAGACATTCATGGGATTGGAAGGCCTTTTATTTCAGAATTGAATGTCCAGTCCTTCGTCTGTTTAGTATTGTAGCTCCACTGAAACTTGTCCACTGTGGCTGAACTGGTTGGTATTTAAAATGCTCATGGTATAACTTTCAGCATCACATAAACATGCAAACCATCACAATACAACAAACTAACAGATGAGTGGTGGTCAGATGTGAATACTTTATTCTAATGATAAAACTTCACAGGAGAAGTTGAAAGAAAAGATGAAAATTTGGATAGACAAGGCCAGGCCCTTTCCTCCCTCTTGCTGTTGCAGATTTCCCCCCCTCAAATTATTCAGGCCATAGTGACCTCAGAATATGTGAATTGTTTTTAAGATGCTTTTTCATATAATCATAGAGTAAACATTCAGTCATAGGAATACACTCAAGTCTGAAATTACTACAGTGAGAATTTATGTCTGAAATTTATAATTTGCTCATGTGCATCAGATATTCTCTTGAAACTATTTCTGAGAATTATTGTATATGCCTGAAGTGCTAATTTGTGGTGTAAATAACCCTGAAATTCAGAGTGTAATTCCAGGCAGATCTATGAAGTCAGTGTGAAAAACATTTTGTTAATTCATTGCACTCACTATACAAACTCTTAAAGGATCAAGACAGTTCACATATTCTTCTCTGCACTCTCTAATTCATTTGACTGTCCACCCATGTACACATTTATTATTTCTTCATCTAAGCACAGATAAAAGTATGGATGATCACTGATTACTATTGAATAGATGTGCAGATGGACTAGCTATCGGTATGACACTGCTAGTAGAATTGTAAAATTATGTAACCACAATGGAAAACAGTTTAGTGTTTCCTTAAAAATTTGAAAATAGAAATACTATTTGATCAACTATTCTACTACTAAAGAAATGAGAGCTGAAACACAAACATATATGCACACCCATGTTTATTGTAGCATTATTCACCATAGCAGAGAGATGATGACAACTCAAGTGTCACCAATGAATGGAGGGAGAGATAAACTGTGGTGCAATAATGACAAGAGTATTGTTGTTATGTGCCATTGAGACATTTGTGACTCATAATGACCCTATGTATTATAGTCCTGAACGCTGCTTTATCCTGAGTCAATCTCACTGTCTCTGAGACACCTATCCCCATTACTCCAATTACTATGTCAATCCATCTCATCTGGGGTTTTCCTCTCCTGAACTGTCCCTCCAACTTTCTAAGCATGATATCCTCCAAGGACTAGTCTCCAAGGACTGGTCCCTTCTGACCATTTGCCCAAAGAATGTGAGATGGAACTTCAAAATCCTAGAATGCAAGGGACAGCCTGGTTTCACCTTCTCCAGGACAGATCTGTTTGTTCTTGTGACAGTCCATGTTCCATACTCTTCTTCAGCACCATAACTCAAAGGCACCACTTTTTCTACTATCATCCTTCTTCATTATCCAGCTCTCTGATGTATAGCAAGTAATTGTGATGACCACAGCTTGGATCAGGCACACCTTAGTCTCTAGACTGACATAATTGCTTTTCAGTACTGTGTAGAGGTCCCTGAACACAGTCTTTCCCAGTGCAATTTGTCTTTTGATTTCCTGGCTACACAAGAGTGCTGATTGTGGAGCCAAGCAAGCTAAAGCTATAACAATCTTAATCTTTTCTCCATCTATCATGATGCTGCCATTTGGCCCAGTGGTGGGAATCTTTGTTTTCTTGATGTAGAGCTTCATGAAATCCATATTGAAGACTGCAGTCCTTGACCTTCTGCAGCAAGCGCTTCAGGTCCTCCTTTGTTTCAGCAAGCAAGGTGGTGTCATCTGCAAAGTGCAGGTTGTTAATGAGTTTTCCTCCAACCCTGATGCCACATCTCATAAAGCCCTTGAATAGTCTGTTCTACATATAGATTGAAAAGATATGGAGATAGGATACACCCCTGACATACACCTTTTCTGATTTTTAACCATGCAGTGTTTCCTTGCTCTGTTCTGACAACTGTTTCCCGGTCCAAGTATAGGTTTCTCATAAGCACAGTTAAGTGTTCTGGGATTTCCATTCTTTACAGAGTTAGCCACAATTTGTTGTGATCCACACAGTCAAGTGCTTTTGCACAAAGACACCCGGATGGACATTCCTCTGGTAATCTCTCCTTTCTGCCAAGATCCATCTGATATTGGCTATAATGTCCCTAGTGCCACAACCTCTTCCAAACCCTGCTTACACATTTAGTAGTTCTTTTTAGATATTTTGTTCTAAGTGTTTTTGAATAATCTTCTGTAAGATCTTGATTGCATGTGATGTTGGTGATATTGCTTAATAATTTCCACACTCTGTTGGATCATTTTTTTTTTATGGAATGAATATGGATCACTTCCAGTCAGTTAGCCAGGTGATTGTCCTCTAGATTTCTTGGCACAACCTGGTGAGCACATCCAGGGCTGCCTGTATTTGTTGAAATAAGTCAACTGGTATTCCATCAATTTCTGGGGCCTTTTTTGGCAAGACTTTCAGAGCAGCTAGAACTTCCCTCTTCATCATCATTACCTCTTGAGTATATGTTGTTTCATAAAATCCTTCTGTGTCAACCAATTCTTTTCGGTACAGTGACTCTGTGTACTCCTTCCATTTTCTTTTAATGCTTCTTGGATCATTTAACATGCTGCACATAGCATCATTAAGTATTGTAAGTCGAGGCTTGATTTTTTTAAAGATATATTTTCTGTAATGCAAATGCATCACTTTTTATTTAATTGAAAATTTTTTTAAGTTGTAATTTTTCAAAAATTTATTATTAATTTCAGTGAAAATTTACAGGGATTTTTGATTTCCATTCATTCATTGTTGCACTTTTCTCCCCTCCCAACCCTCCCCCTAGTACACTACCCTCTTGGAAAAGTAAAAGAAAAATTATTTCATTGTTTTACAATCCCTCCTCCCAGCTCCACTCCACTATGCAGCCTTTGCTCTGGACTCCTGTCATAACAAAAATACCTAATCACATATCCCTCTTAAACAGTTTTCTCCCTCATCTGTTTCAATGCAGTATACATTATTGAACCCATCTTTCTCAGTCTCCCCCTAATCCCGAGGTCAGTCCTGTTTTACAACAGTAGTATCATGCAGTATTTGTCCTTTTGTGACTGAGATACTTCACTCAGCATAATGTCTTCCAGGGTCACCCATTTTGAATAATATTCCATGAGTTCCTTGTTTTTCAATGCAGTGTAGTATTCCATTGTGTGAATATACCACAGCTTCTCTCCATTCATTTGTTGATGGGCACTTAGGTTGTTTCCAACTCCTTGCTATTGTGAACAAAGCCGCCATAAACATGTGTGTGCATATATCTGCTTGGATATCAGTTATGGTCTCTTTGGGGTATATTCCCAGTAGTGGAATTGTTGGGTCAAATGGTATCTCTATTTGCAATTTTTTGAGAAAGTGCCATACCGCCTTCTACAGTGGTTGCACCATTTTACTCATCTACCAACAGTGAATAAGGGTTCCAGTTTCTCCACAACCTCGCCAGCATTTGTTGCTTGCTGTTCTGTTAAATTTTGCTATTCTGACTAGGTGAGATGATATCTCATAGTTGTTTTGAGGCTTGAATTTGTTCTTCAGTTTTTCAGCTTAAGAAATGCCAAGCAAGTTCATCCCTTTTGATTTTCTAACTCCAGTTCTTTGCACATTTCATTATAATACTTTGCTTTATGTTCCTGAATCATCCTTTGAAATCTTCTGTTCAACTCCTTAACTTCTTGATTTATTCCCTCTGCTTTGGTAATGTCAGCAATTCATGTTTCTAGAGACGTTCTTTACCTATTTAACTTTTGGAAGAGTTTTTTAAAGTTTAATTTTAGACTTTCCCCCTATACTTGCTTAGGATTATCTCTATCCCCTCACCATCAGTTGCCATCTCTATGGTTGTTACAAATTGTAATGGAGCTAATTCAGACTCATAGCAACCTCATGTAAGCAGAGCAGAACTGCTCCCCTGGTGTTTCTAAACAATGGCCTTTCTGAACCATATAAATAAGCCTCTTTTCCCAAGTGCTTTTGCGTATGTTTGAGCTGCCAGCCTATAGTAAGCAGCGTTAGCCATTCATGTCATCAGGCCCCTAGTTGTATGAATCAGTATATCTGTGTGTCTGTCCTTGAATCCAAATATTATGACAATATGGGCATTAAATGGATTTTGTTTGTTGATTATATTTAGTAGGACATTTTTTATTTTATACTGGTTTATTTGCAAAGTTTGTTTTTCACACCAGATCACTAAGCTGATTTTAAATGGGACTTTAACTTAACAAAAAACCTAATTATTATTCTTATAATTTAAATTTATTCAAATTCTTTTCTTTTTTGATTGAAATCAATAACATATACTATCTTCTAGCATGGAGCTTTTGTGCAATATTCCTTCAACCAAATTCCTGTCTTTATTTTGTTTTTCTGACCTGTTCCTACATGTCACACCCCAGTTTAAAAGCCAGTGTTTTCAATGTAAATGAAGAATAGTGTGAAACAAAATGTATGTGAATTTTTTTATGTAAACCAATATAAAATAGAATTTTTTAAACCCCCCCCAGTGTTTTAAGGAAGACTAAATATTTTAATCTCTAATGCAGACTTAGTTGCATTATCATTTATTAAACATTACTTGTTTCTTTACATTAACACTCAATGGCCTATATTTTACCTGTTTTCAAGACCAATTTAGTGAACTGGCATTGAACTTTCTTTAATGCCTAGTACCTGGCAGAGAACTTGGTAGATGCTAGAGGCTTATCCATGAAAACCAGAATTCTGAAAACCCTTAAAGATTCATCAGCTTTTTAATGGTATCTTTGAAGGCCTGTTTTACTTGCTGATTCCTTAGCGTGTAAATAAAAGGGTTCAACAAAGGGGCAACTGAAGTAATGAGTAGAGATACAACTTTGTTGAATGTGTTCCCTTCTTTTGCTGATGGCTTAATATAAATGAAAAAGCAGCTTCCATAAGAAAGAGAAAGGACAATCATGTGGGAAGAACAAGTGGAAAAGGCTTTTGTTCTTTGCTGGGCAGATGGGAGCCTCAGGACAGTCCTGATGATGAGTGTGTAGGAGATAATGACCAGCACCAGAGTGACCACCAGGGTCACAGATGCCACAAGAAAGACAACCTTCTCTATGAGGCTTGTGTCTGAACAGGAGAGTTCCCGGAGAGGCTCATAGTCACAGTAATAATGATTGAGCTTGTTGGATGCACAAAAGTCCTGCTGACTCATTATGGTGATTGGTGGTATAATGACCATCAGCCCAGCCAGCCAAGAGCAGAGGACCATCTGATTGCAGATTCTACCGCTCATAATTGTCATGTAATGTAGGGGTTTGCAGATGGCCACATAGCGATCATAGGACATAGCAGCCAGAAGATAAAACTCTGTTGACAAAAGAAAGATAGAAAAGAAATACTGAGCGAAGCAGCCAGCAAAGCTGATACTCTTGTTTCCTGTTGTGATGCTGATCAGGACTCTGGGAATGAAGATGTTTATGAAGGAAATTTCTAAGAAGGAGAAGTTCCGGAGAAAGAAATACATAGGTGTCTGAAGATGTGAATCCAGCAAGGTGAGCAAGAGGATAGTTAGATTTCCAGTGATGCTGAGCAGATAGGTGAGGAACAGAAAGGCGAAAACAGCCACTTGGAGTTCAGGGACATCTGTTAGACCCAGCAGAATGAATTCAGTCAGTGTAGTTTTATTTTTCATTGTTGGAAGTTTTTTCAGGTCAAGATGAAAATGAGACAGTTATCAAATGTGAAGAAGGAAGATGTGCTCTGAAATGAACAGGTAAAATCCGAAGAGAACAAATGGATACACACAATGAACTTCTCTAACACTGTGACTCTGACCAATCTGAATGATGTTGTGTTCCTCTTCAGTTCTATTTGCCACATATAGGAACATTCTTGCAATTATTTTCTCATAACACTCTCCACCAGTGCCAGTAGGAAGCAAATGTTATCCTATTAATGTTAAAAAATGTTTGTGGAATGACTTAATAAAGTAATGTCTGTAGCAGTTCTATTGTTTCAGAATAATTACTGATTTTCTTTATACCGGTTTATTTACAAAGTTCGTATTCATTGTTTTTTACACTGGATCTTTTCCATTTTCTTCACTCCTCCCCCTATCAAGTGTGCCACCCCCAACCCCATCCCTCCTCTCCCCTCTGCTCCTAACCTCCCCCACCTTGGATCCTCATACTTATTCTACCATAATGGTCTTATGCGGTATTTGTCCTTATGGGACTGAGTTAGTTCACTCAGCATAATGCTCTCCATTCTCTCCCAAGGTAGATGGTGATTTACAAAATCATTGCTTCTGCATGCTGCGTACTTATTTTCTTTTTTATGTATTTATTTTCATTATTTCTCATTGAACTCTACTCATGGTCCTGGTTTCTCTGCTTGTCTCTTTACTGAATCTTCTATTTCTTATTCTTTTTTTGCCCTTTCATATTTTTATTTTTTAATATAATGCAGAAATATTTTCTTTCTAGTCCACCTCTTTTAATTCCTTCAGTGCCAAAAAGTCTGGAGCTAGTTACTTCTTCTCAATGGGACTTCCCTTCTTCTTTCTACTGTCCCTTATAATTTAGAGAGATATAAATTAGGATTATACACATCTGTCCTTTAACCTTCTCTCATATATGTCTGGCATCTGATATGGAACTACTTTACATTTTACATAATTTCTCTGCAAATCTATAGCTATCTAATAAAGATCTTACAGAAAACATTTTACTACATGTAATACAATTTGATATTTTCTACACTAAGAATTTTTTAAAATGCTACATTCACTAAATTGATTTCATGGATTGTCCATTTATTGAAATCAGGAAATAACACAAAATTCCCCAGATTCACTTGCCCCCCACACTGGTTACTAACCTGGAGTCCTCAGAGAGTCCATTTGAGAATTTATTACCATGAAGAAATAAAAATCAATGACGGTACATACAAAGAAAGCTTTTCCTCACTTGATTATTTAAATAATTATGGTAAGATTTTAATCTTAATTATTTTTAGAGATTAATTGAAATTTAATATCATTACTACTAAGTAATACTTTATTGCATTGTGTCATCTACATTCTTTATGAGAGAGCTCTAGTGGCCTTGTGAATGAGGAGTTGTACTTCCAGCCCAAAGGCAGGTAGTTTGAATACACTAATTATTTCAAGGGAAAAAGATAGACGAGCTCCTTCTGTGATATTTACACCTCTGAAAACCCACAGAAGGGTCATCTATTAGTTGGTTTCAACTCATGGGCATATAACAACATTCTCTGCTGCTAAGTCTTACCCTACATTTCATGGAAATATAAAGACTGTCAGTTGATGTTGTAAGAAGCATTATTTTGTTTTCTCTGTGCTGTATTATTTTAGTAGGGATTTTCTTATCCCTAACTCAGACTGATGCTGAATTAGAATTTTTGGACCCATCCTTTTAAAACAGAGGTAACAACTAGGAACCTAAAAGAAAGATTTTGAGGAGCTATTTTAGAGGAAAGAAGCTGTTCCTCTCAGAATTATATGCACTCCCCTTCTCAGTCCTAGATTTTACTTAGAGTGACACAGGTTCTATCTGCTCCACTGAGAACACACACTGGGGGATCAATTGTGTGAAGAAGCCCAAGTTGCCCTGGGGATCCATGGTTGAAACAGGGCAATCAATGTCCTCTGCTGCCAACTTTGTGTGTAGGCATAGCATTTCCCTAGTGGGAGATGTGATTTGTATTGACTGTATGTAGGTGGAAATATTTGAAAGAGGTTATGAACATAAAAAAGGTTATATTTTTTTTAAAAAAAATGAGTATGGCTTTGAGCCAATAAAACTTTATTCCTGCATCCCAAGATTTTAATATAATTTTATGTGTCATAAAATATTGTTGTTGTTGTTGTTTGTGCCGTCGAGTCGCCTGCAACTCATAGCGACCCTATGTACAACAGCCCTAAACTCCGCTCTGTCCTGTGCCAATCGCACTGTCTCTGACACTC